TGTTTTTTTGAGAAGGATTGTGTGGGGGGGGGGGTTTTCCCCCACCCGTTGGGGGGGGGTTGGGGGGGGGGCCCCCGAAGTGGGGCGTAAAAATTAAAATTTCTAAAATTTTTTACCCCCGGGGGGGGGTGTAATTTTGGGAAAAAAAAAAACCCCAGGGGGGGGGGGGTGTTTTTGGGGGGGGGGGGGGGGGGGGGGGGGGGGGGGCTGTGAAGCAACTAGACGTCGTGGAAGAGGGGGGTGCTCTCGAGAGGCTAAGCACACCCTTTGCAGGCACGAGAAAAAAGCGTAAAGGGCGTTAATCGCAAAAAAAAAAAACTTGGTCCCCGAAGGCCATGAACGCCTCCAACGCAGTACCGACAAGTTGACAATATATCCCACGCGTCCTTTACAATGATAGAAAACAATTAGTCCGGGACTCCTTGCCCGCCAGCACCACCAACAAGAAACCGGAGGACATCTCGCAAGCCTTCTAAGCGTGAGGTTCAACGCACCTCAAGCTTGAGCTTCTTGGCGATGGCGGTCCTGACGGAGTCAATGCGCCAGAGCAGGAAGGTCAGGGAGAACGGCAAAGGCCAGTAGAGGTGCTGGAACTTTCTCCACGGTCGGTCGCGCCGGTGTTTTGGGGCCCACAGCCAAAACGGGGGCTCCCCTTTTCCAAGAAAAATCCGGTAGAAAAAAAAATTGGGAACCAGGGGGAAAGGTTAAAACCAACCGGGGTCCAGGGTATTATGTATTTCAACATGGGGGGGGGGGGGGGGCAGAAATGTCTTTACTTGAAAATAAAACCTGCACACCATCGCAATCAAAAATTGTAATAATTGGCCAGGGATGGGAACACCGGCAGCAGTACTGTCTGTAGGTTATCTGTTGTCTCACCATGATGTCTTCGTCGACACCAACAACGTTGGTGAAGGCGTGGTGGAGGTTGTGCTTCTCTGACCACCACTTAGAGCTCAGGCCGCATGTAACCGCCCCGTAGTGCCGCATCGCGCTGCAGAACCTGCGGCAACGAAGAAAGAAGGACAGAGGCAGGAACAACAGTCGGCGGGTTAAAAGAGATGGGGCAGGGACGTCGCCCATCGCGGACAATATTACCGCATGGATATCGATCGCTCATACAACAACTAGGAAAGGTACGACGTGGTCGCCTCCACACGTGACAACGAGAACAAGCACCCAAAGAAGACCAAACGGCACATTTTGTTCATGTCATTTTGCGAGAATTTACACCAACAGTCTACACCACGAACAAAAAACAAACACAAAAAAACGCAAAAAAAAAAACTGTTCGAGAAAGAACGCACCCAAGACGCCTCTTCAAAAAAAAAGAGGCGCCGCCCGCTCTCGAACGTGACGTCACGGGTGGTCATAAAACACGCCAAGAAAAACACAACCATTGCCAAATGTTGAAAACTGTTGAGGGCGTCGCTCGCTCGCTCACTCACTTCCCCCGGCCGTGCACCATGTCGTGCGCCAGCCAACCCCCGGTGGTGTGGGCCAGGCCCATCACGACGACCCCAAGCCACGGGTTCGTGCGCGACAAGACGATGCCCGCCGCGAAGGTTCCGACCTGCAACGCAACGATAGACGCGTCCTTGTACCAGATGCGCTTAAACCACCCCGCCTCCACCTGTCATGTGAACGGCAACAGCACGTTTACCTGGAGGTTAGTAGGATGTTGGTGGGATGCCTCAAAACAGTCGTGCTTCTACGACCTGAACATAAAGGATCAGGCAACAAGAGGCACTTAAAGTATTGGAACTTTGGTTGATGAACGCCTATAATAGCACGGTGTAAACCAGCCAGCCTCGATCTGTGTAGTGAAAGGGAGTGGACTACACTGCTGTTACGAGATGAGCATGTTCATAGGATGAACACGGCTCAAAACCGGCGTGCCTCCACCTGTACACGACGACTAGACAACAAGCGGAATTTCAAGGATGAGGGCTTTGGTGGATGAACCGCATACCACGGCTTAAAACCAGCCCACTTTCCACCTGTGTGGTGACAACAAGCGGAGTCATTTTTGGAGATTTAGCATGTTGATTGATGAACACTTAAATATTAATATTTCGGCTCACACTGATCCGCTTCCACCTCAACACAACGATCAGGCAACAAGCGGGGTTTCAAAGAGGACGAAAGCTCAAGTCAAGTTTTGGTGGATGAACGCAGAGCGCGGGTAAAAACCACACCGCCTACACCCGAACATACAACAGCTATCGGTTCGGAGCGAAAGTTTCCAACATGGGACTTTTTCGTGACGGAGAACGGAAGAACTCGACACCACTCCCAGCTCTCGAGGATAACTTGGGGGGTGGGGGGAAGCGATTGGCGTTGGACATCACACACCTATTCCTCTACCACACGGACTAACGGGGCACTGAATACCAAACACAGAGGCCAGTCCCTCCTTCTATTATAGTATTTAGTGCCTCAAGCCACGAAAGTGTCCGAGTCTCCGTCACAACCGTGGGTAAGTTTTGCATGCACATTCGACCTGTTTTCCACGACGACACTGACGCAGAAGCTTCACCCCGACCTGTGTTTGTTCCCCGCGCAGGCCGGACACAGTGAAGCTGCCACGCGCAACAGTCTGCCTTTCGGCGGGCGGCGGCGGTGGCTGCTCGAGTAAAAGCGGCGCAATCTTATGGCCCAGCCGCTGGGCTACAGATGGCGCCGCTTCTGCCCGAGCGGCCAACGACGCCGCCTGCCGAAAACAGGCTGCTGCGCGTGGCAGCTTGATTGTCGCCAGCCATGGCGGGAACGAACGCTGATCTGGAATCAATTGCTCTCACGGATGCACGATTGGTTGGGAAGAACAGGGCGTGCTCGGACACGCTTTCCCTATAACTGCCGCTGAAAGAAACGTCCCATAACGCTGAACGCCACAGCCACACACGGGGTTATGGTGCAGCAGCAGTATAGAACCGCCTCCCGATCCCCCCTCCAAATAAAGGGCAAGCCTCCGTCTCGGAGAAGTGGATGCGCGTTCATCGTCCAACCGCCTTACACTAGGCAAAACACGAGTATCCACCCCATCCCCCTCCCTCCCACCGCTATTCCGTTCATCGTTCAACTGCCTTACGCTAGACGAATCACCAGTATCCACCCCATCTTCCCCCCTCTCCCACCGTTTTTCCGCCCATCGTTCGACCGCGTTTTACTCTAGACAAAACAAGAGCACTCCCTCCCCCCTTTCACCTCCGGCCGAAACAACCATGCCCCCCCCCCCCCCCCGCCCCCCGGCCCCCCCAAAAAATTTTTTAAACCCCTTTTTGAAAAACCCCAAAAATTTTGGGGGGGAAA